CTATTGTGGGAAATTGTTAGAGAAAATCTAGATTCTAGGATTACATTTGAATTAAATTGGTTTTTAACGATAAATCTTCCGATTAGAGTGTCGGGATGAAAGCCTCTAATTGAGTTATAAAAAATGAATAATTGATGTTGAATGATTCGATCCAATTGAGAAAATTCCGACGCTTTACTATTTTAACTCATTGATTTTAATTTCATTACTAGATCCATTAATATTTAAATTTTATTCCGAAAAATAAATCATTTTCAAAAAATTCACGAAAAATCCTAATTTGTTGAACCATTGAGTGTTTTTTCATCTCCATGTGGAATCGACACCCCAAAGCCGTGCTACAATTACTGTGTTATTCTTTAGGTGTAATCAATCTTCTACTGAAACTGAATATATTGCAGATTGGATGCTGTTAAGGAAGGACTTTGGTTAAGAGGTTTATAAGAAGAAACTGGTTTTATAAATGAAGTAGTTAGAATTTATATAGATAATAAAAATGCCATACATTTGAGCAGAAACCCTATTTATCATGACATAACTAAACATGTTAATATTAAGTTCCATTTTGTTAGAAACACGGCTGAAAATGACTTGATTAATCTGGGGAAAATTCCAACTGAGTTTAACCCCTCTGATATTGGTACCAAGGTTTTGCCTTTTGAATGAATTCAAAAACTAGTTGAAAAATTCAATTTACTGTTTTTGTTTAGAATTGAATCTAATGTTATTTTTCACTTTTTTTTTGTTTTTATAGGTTGGTTAGAGCAAGTGAAACAACCTAGTATCGTTTAATCCACAAATAAGCCTAGAATAGTTCAGCAAGGTCAAGAATGTTGTGTCAATTGGTGACGACGGGCAGAATATTGATTATCCTGTAGGCTGGAACCAATAGACAATAACAGAGAAGAACACAAGAGAATAACGCTAAGAAAAACGAGAAAATCTTTATTATACAACAATTGAGCGAAAATAACCCACAAATCGGGTTAAATAGTTAGAAAATAATAATTTTCCAAATTTTACCAAAAATAGCAAAATCATATTATTCATACCAAAAAGAAATACTTAATGTCAGAAATAAGATCCCAAAAATCTGATTTAATTTGAG